TACTTCAGAGAAACATTCTTTGCATCAGGAATGATTTTACGAACATCTTCAATACTTTTTCGAAACTTTAATCAGCTCCCAAACTTTTTAAGTATACTGGAAGTGTTTTTCATGAAACAACAAAACAATCATGTAACATTACAAAATTACAGCTTATCTGCCTTCAGGAGTAACATATATCTATAAAAATAGGAGGTAATTTCTTAGTGTTTAAAATTCTTATTATTTCATTCGTTATTTATTATTAGTTGTAGGATTTCTGTTTTTTTTTTTGTAGCATTTCTTAATATTCATTCTATTTAAAAATATTTTTCTTATTTTTACTATTATTAACTGGAGAGTTATTCCGAAAGCCACTCATATAATTTCCTCAAAATATTTACTAAACATTTCATTTGAATAATTATTAGCTTTTATTTATTCCTAAATTGTCACATTTCGATATAGTATTGCCCTAACTTTAATTAATTTTGGGTACATTAATTATTTCTTTTTTCAGTTAACATCCTACGAAAATCTGCTGTAGAGTACTTGATTACGTGTAGTATGACCCACAAATACTACTGATGGAACTAACAAGGGTCCAGGCTTTTCATGGATGTAGAAGCATTTCATAATTTAGGTGCTCAACGTTTTAATCTCAAAATATAAGTGGAAAGTGTTTTAGTAGATTTGCGTTTAAATACCATTTTGCAAAACCCTTCAAACTAAATCACGTTTAACTGTATGGTACTTCCTTTAAACATTGTTAATATTCATGAATTACATTTTGGAAGGCTTTTGTGACGTTTGGAAACATTATTTAAACCAATTGTCTAAACATATTTTAAGTAATTGTAATTTAACTATTGTTATCGGATCTCAATAAATATATTTTAATATATAACATAAACATCAAATTGCAATGTAATAGATTTTATGAATGCGGGAAAATAATAGATAACTGGCTTCTTTTCCTGCCTTCATAAAATATATTGGGTTGCATTTAATTGCACATAGGAGATGAAAAATAAAACAAGCTAATCTTTAAAATTGACGGGTTAGTATCTGTACATCATAAGCGATTAATAAATAATTTTCTATCAATTACAGTCTCTTTATTTTAGTGAAGTAATGTAATTTGTTTAAATAAAACATTGAAAGCCAACTTTAAGTTTCGTATACTTTACGAATGTAACTCGTATTTTAAAAATGATTGCAGATTTTTCTGGCTTTCCAAAGCGACCTCTAGCGGTCAGTAGCAAAAGCTTCCTTATAGGCTTCTCTGAAAACCATTACATATTTCTATAAGTAAGGTATTTTTCTAGGTCATTCAGGGTCACAGTTTCCTGTAAAGTTACATTTGTACATTCAAGCTGATATATGAATTGAACGTTCAAGGTAATAGAAACTTATAAGGATGGTTAGATCATAAGTATGAATCAAGTAACAAATCTTTATACTCATTTTATAACTTCGAACTCGGTGGCGCCATCTATGATTGGGTAGCTGCGCCATTAGAATTTTAAAGAAAATTTAATTTTTTCAGGCAAGAATCAGCGACTCAACCATTTTTGGTGCAGCATCAATTTACGTTGACTCAATTTTGTGACCCTATTTCACAAAAACATGCTTTACAACAGGAATGATTTTACGAACATCTTCAATACTTTTTCGAAACTTCAATCAGCTCCCAAACTTTTTAAGTATACCGGAAGTGCTTTTACATGAAACAACAAAACAATCATGTAAGTAACATTACAAAATTACAGCTTATCTGCCTTCAGGAGTAGTATATATCTATCAAACAAACTTCACCATGTCTCTAGAGAGGCTTTATTACATTTGCCACAAAATGTCCTCAAGTCTCGCCATTAGAATTTTAAAGAAAATTTAATTTTTTCAGGCAAGAATCAGCGACTCAACCATTTTTGGTGCAGCATCAATTTACGTTGACTCAATTTTGTGACCCTATTTCACAAAAACATGCTTTACAACAGGAATGATTTTACGAACATCTTCAATACTTTTTCGAAACTTCAATCAGCTCCCAAACTTTTTAAGTATACCGGAAGTGCTTTTACATGAAACAACAAAACAATCATGTAAGTAACATTACAAAATTACAGCTTATCTGCCTTCAGGAGTAGTATATATCTATCAAACAAACTTCACCATGTCTCTAGAGAGGCTTTATTACATTTGCCACAAAATGTCCTCAAGTCTCGCCATTAGAATTTTAAAGAAAATTTAATTTTTTCAGGCAAGAATCAGCGACTCAACCATTTTTGGTGCAGCATCAATTTACGTTGACTCAATTTTGTGACCCTATTTCACAAAAACATGCTTTACAACAGGAATGATTTTACGAACATCTTCAATACTTTTTCGAAACTTCAATCAGCTCCCAAACTTTTTAAGTATACCGGAAGTGCTTTTACATGAAACAACAAAACAATCATGTAAGTAACATTACAAAATTACAGCTTATCTGCCTTCAGGAGTAGTATATATCTATCAAACAAACTTCACCATGTCTCTAGAGAGGCTTTATTACATTTGCCACAAAATGTCCTCAAGTCTCGCCATTAGAATTTTAAAGAAAATTTAATTTTTTCAGGCAAGAATCAGCGACTCAACCATTTTTGGTGCAGCATCAATTTACGTTGACTCAATTTTGTGACCCTATTTCACAAAAACATGCTTTACAACAGGAATGATTTTACGAACATCTTCAATACTTTTTCGAAACTTCAATCAGCTCCCAAACTTTTTAAGTATACCGGAAGTGCTTTTACATGAAACAACAAAACAATCATGTAAGTAACATTACAAAATTACAGCTTATCTGCCTTCAGGAGTAGTATATATCTATCAAACAAACTTCACCATGTCTCTAGAGAGGCTTTATTACATTTGCCACAAAATGTCCTCAAGTCTCGCCATTAGAATTTTAAAGAAAATTTAATTTTTTCAGGCAAGAATCAGCGACTCAACCATTTTTGGTGCAGCATCAATTTACGTTGACTCAATTTTGTGACCCTATTTCACAAAAACATGCTTTACAACAGGAATGATTTTACGAACATCTTCAATACTTTTTCGAAACTTCAATCAGCTCCCAAACTTTTTAAGTATACCGGAAGTGCTTTTACATGAAACAACAAAACAATCATGTAAGTAACATTACAAAATTACAGCTTATCTGCCTTCAGGAGTAGTATATATCTATCAAACAAACTTCACCATGTCTCTAGAGAGGCTTTATTACATTTGCCACAAAATGTCCTCAAGTCTCGCCATTAGAATTTTAAAGAAAATTTAATTTTTTCAGGCAAGAATCAGCGACTCAACCATTTTTGGTGCAGCATCAATTTACGTTGACTCAATTTTGTGACCCTATTTCACAAAAACATGCTTTACAACAGGAATGATTTTACGAACATCTTCAATACTTTTTCGAAACTTCAATCAGCTCCCAAACTTTTTAAGTATACCGGAAGTGCTTTTACATGAAACAACAAAACAATCATGTAAGTAACATTACAAAATTACAGCTTATCTGCCTTCAGGAGTAGTATATATCTATCAAACAAACTTCACCATGTCTCTAGAGAGGCTTTATTACATTTGCCACAAAATGTCCTCAAGTCTCGCCATTAGAATTTTAAAGAAAATTTAATTTTTTCAGGCAAGAATCAGCGACTCAACCATTTTTGGTGCAGCATCAATTTACGTTGACTCAATTTTGTGACCCTATTTCACAAAAACATGCTTTACAACAGGAATGATTTTACGAACATCTTCAATACTTTTTCGAAACTTCAATCAGCTCCCAAACTTTTTAAGTATACCGGAAGTGCTTTTACATGAAACAACAAAACAATCATGTAAGTAACATTACAAAATTACAGCTTATCTGCCTTCAGGAGTAGTATATATCTATCAAACAAACTTCACCATGTCTCTAGAGAGGCTTTATTACATTTGCCACAAAATGTCCTCAAGTCTCGCCATTAGAATTTTAAAGAAAATTTAATTTTTTCAGGCAAGAATCAGCGACTCAACCATTTTTGGTGCAGCATCAATTTACGTTGACTCAATTTTGTGACCCTATTTCACAAAAACATGCTTTACAACAGGAATGATTTTACGAACATCTTCAATACTTTTTCGAAACTTCAATCAGCTCCCAAACTTTTTAAGTATACCGGAAGTGCTTTTACATGAAACAACAAAACAATCATGTAAGTAACATTACAAAATTACAGCTTATCTGCCTTCAGGAGTAGTATATATCTATCAAACAAACTTCACCATGTCTCTAGAGAGGCTTTATTACATTTGCCACAAAATGTCCTCAAGTCTCGCCATTAGAATTTTAAAGAAAATTTAATTTTTTCAGGCAAGAATCAGCGACTCAACCATTTTTGGTGCAGCATCAATTTACGTTGACTCAATTTTGTGACCCTATTTCACAAAAACATGCTTTACAACAGGAATGATTTTACGAACATCTTCAATACTTTTTCGAAACTTCAATCAGCTCCCAAACTTTTTAAGTATACCGGAAGTGCTTTTACATGAAACAACAAAACAATCATGTAAGTAACATTACAAAATTACAGCTTATCTGCCTTCAGGAGTAGTATATATCTATCAAACAAACTTCACCATGTCTCTAGAGAGGCTTTATTACATTTGCCACAAAATGTCCTCAAGTCTCGCCATTAGAATTTTAAAGAAAATTTAATTTTTTCAGGCAAGAATCAGCGACTCAACCATTTTTGGTGCAGCATCAATTTACGTTGACTCAATTTTGTGACCCTATTTCACAAAAACATGCTTTACAACAGGAATGATTTTACGAACATCTTCAATACTTTTTCGAAACTTCAATCAGCTCCCAAACTTTTTAAGTATACCGGAAGTGCTTTTACATGAAACAACAAAACAATCATGTAAGTAACATTACAAAATTACAGCTTATCTGCCTTCAGGAGTAGTATATATCTATCAAACAAACTTCACCATGTCTCTAGAGAGGCTTTATTACATTTGCCACAAAATGTCCTCAAGTCTCGCCATTAGAATTTTAAAGAAAATTTAATTTTTTCAGGCAAGAATCAGCGACTCAACCATTTTTGGTGCAGCATCAATTTACGTTGACTCAATTTTGTGACCCTATTTCACAAAAACATGCTTTACAACAGGAATGATTTTACGAACATCTTCAATACTTTTTCGAAACTTCAATCAGCTCCCAAACTTTTTAAGTATACCGGAAGTGCTTTTACATGAAACAACAAAACAATCATGTAAGTAACATTACAAAATTACAGCTTATCTGCCTTCAGGAGTAGTATATATCTATCAAACAAACTTCACCATGTCTCTAGAGAGGCTTTATTACATTTGCCACAAAATGTCCTCAAGTCTCGCCATTAGAATTTTAAAGAAAATTTAATTTTTTCAGGCAAGAATCAGCGACTCAACCATTTTTGGTGCAGCATCAATTTACGTTGACTCAATTTTGTGACCCTATTTCACAAAAACATGCTTTACAACAGGAATGATTTTACGAACATCTTCAATACTTTTTCGAAACTTCAATCAGCTCCCAAACTTTTTAAGTATACCGGAAGTGCTTTTACATGAAACAACAAAACAATCATGTAAGTAACATTACAAAATTACAGCTTATCTGCCTTCAGGAGTAGTATATATCTATCAAACAAACTTCACCATGTCTCTAGAGAGGCTTTATTACATTTGCCACAAAATGTCCTCAAGTCTCGCCATTAGAATTTTAAAGAAAATTTAATTTTTTCAGGCAAGAATCAGCGACTCAACCATTTTTGGTGCAGCATCAATTTACGTTGACTCAATTTTGTGACCCTATTTCACAAAAACATGCTTTACAACAGGAATGATTTTACGAACATCTTCAATACTTTTTCGAAACTTCAATCAGCTCCCAAACTTTTTAAGTATACCGGAAGTGCTTTTACATGAAACAACAAAACAATCATGTAAGTAACATTACAAAATTACAGCTTATCTGCCTTCAGGAGTAGTATATATCTATCAAACAAACTTCACCATGTCTCTAGAGAGGCTTTATTACATTTGCCACAAAATGTCCTCAAGTCTCGCCATTAGAATTTTAAAGAAAATTTAATTTTTTCAGGCAAGAATCAGCGACTCAACCATTTTTGGTGCAGCATCAATTTACGTTGACTCAATTTTGTGACCCTATTTCACAAAAACATGCTTTACAACAGGAATGATTTTACGAACATCTTCAATACTTTTTCGAAACTTCAATCAGCTCCCAAACTTTTTAAGTATACCGGAAGTGCTTTTACATGAAACAACAAAACAATCATGTAAGTAACATTACAAAATTACAGCTTATCTGCCTTCAGGAGTAGTATATATCTATCAAACAAACTTCACCATGTCTCTAGAGAGGCTTTATTACATTTGCCACAAAATGTCCTCAAGTCTCGCCATTAGAATTTTAAAGAAAATTTAATTTTTTCAGGCAAGAATCAGCGACTCAACNCCTAGCTATAACATTTTACAGTAAATGCTTACCTATTTGCTGGTCTTGATGGATGAAAACAACACCACTCACAAACGAAAAGCAAAAATGTTTACGCGATTTGACCAAGTTTGCAACTATAATTAATGCCATTTTAATAGAATAGAATAATAAAATTACTGTAATTAAGTGAAAGATAGAAAAATAGTTTTATGAAATCAGACATTTCAATTTCATAAGTAGTTATTGTTTACTATTTGCAGACATATTGTTAATCCAAGCAATTAATAGATGTATAAAATATATAATGATATAGAGTAAACTGCACATGGTACCGACGAATTTAAT